TGTGTGTGTGTGTGTGTGTGTGTGTGTGTGTGTGTGTGTGTGTGTGTGTGTGTGTGTGTGTGTGTGTGTGTCACACCACTCTCTTGACTCTTTTGGTTTCTGTATGTGTCGGCCCTCCTGGTGAAGCACTTCATCTGTATTACTGTTGTTAAAAAGGAAGCTGTTGATGTCATTATTACTTTTGGGAATGAACGGTCAAAGACCTGCTTAAGAGATGTACAGATTCTTATTATTTAAAGATGGCATTGAATAAAAAGATAGAATGCAGTGAATTCTCCTGACGTGGATCTGATTTCTACCTGAGGATGTTTTGTGTCTGTCTGCATGTTATTTTTTTGTTCGCAGGATTGTGTGTGAGCGATTTGGTGAAGATCCACAAATAAAATCTGGATCTGGTGAATTTAAACGTGGTTTACAGGAGGTATACTCTGATTGTCGTTCTAGTTCATTATTTAGAAATGTTGGAATATAATGTGTGATGTTCGGATCACGTCAAAAGAGACAAAAAAGACTGATGAGAATAATATAGTTTAATGTAGTGTTGTTGGGCGACACGTGTAGCCACAGATATCGAACCGTAGATTTCACAAAGAGAAATCAATTTGTTTAATGTCGTTTCGTCACTATTTGCAATTTCTTTTCATTTGTTTTAAGCAGATCTTAGAAAAAAGACAAAGTTGGCAACACCTAAAAGATTTTGTTTCAACTCAAATGAATGTCTCTTCATATTTTTCTGTTTGAGGGTTTAAGTTAAGGGTCTGGTAGTAAACAATCTTCAGGTTAACTGAGCAGATAATCCTTTTTAAAAGTAACTTTCTCTCCTTCACTCTCTGTTTTCTCCTGCTCTCCTGTTAAGTAGCTTACAGCCTCTCCTCTCTCTTACAAAATCACCAGCCTCCAATTAAGCCTCCTGCTGTCTCCAGTCCATCATCCTCCTCTGCAGCTTATTCCTCTGTGTCTCTGTCTCCGTGTGTTTGTCTCGTTGTAAAGTCCGTCTCCTCCTGTCCTGCTGCAGGTCGGAGTTGAGACCGTGTCCGTGTCGCCCCCTTGATCCGCAGGTCACTAAGTTGCCATGGAGACAGCAGGTGTATCCCCGGGTGGGTCGAGGTCAGCGGTGGCGTTGTGTGTCGTGGTCGTCCTGCTCGTTAAAGGTGAGTGTGAGATCACGATGTGATGGTTCTAAATGTTTTTCCTTCTCCTGTGAGTCTGTTGCACAAAGTCGTCCCCTCCGATCAGTCACCCGTCCAAGTGTTAATAAGGTTGTGACAATCAGACTTAACAGGTCAATGAGCATCTGTGTGTGTGCGTGTGCTATTTTTAAGTGTACGGCTTTTATGTGCGACCTCTCCAGGGTCGAGCGGGTTAGTCTGTTACACTGCAGTGGAATCACTGGACTTAGGCTGCCTCCTGCGGTGGACCTGTCCCCGTGCCAGTCCTAACACCACCTACAGCGTCCAGACCAAGACACAGGGGTGAGGCTGTGTGTGTGTGTGTGTGTGTGGTCTAGGTATTCCTCTTGCTGTGGGGACCAAAATCACGTTCCATGGTCACATTATGGACACTTGTCTTCCTTATGGGGACAAAAAGAAAGGCCCCATAATGTAAATGATCACATTTTCAGGTGAAGACATGTTTTAAGATTTAAGTTAAGGTTAATCACGCTGTAACAAAGGTTATGACTTGGTTCACCTTTTAATTAAGAAGTGAACTTTACTCACAGGAAGGGGAATAAATGAGGTGGGGAAAAAAAGAAAAGACAGAAAACTACTTGATTAGAAACTTTTAAAAAGTCAAGATAAGTTTGTTTAGTCATATGAACAAAACACCATTCAATGGAAGTGGCGGCCGTTCATTTTTGTAGATGTTATTTTATGTCCAAAAGGAAGGTTAGATAAATACTTCTGAAGTCGTCCTGTTGTAAACTGAGGTGATTAGTTTCTGCGTTTAGTTTTCTGTGAATGTGACAGAATAAGTATTCATTAATCAAACGAAGCCTGTGAGCTTTATAGCGTATTATCGGCTCAAGACGAAGGGGGACAGAGCTTCTGAAATAAGAGCTTCAAGGCTCTGGAGGAAATACAGCACTAACTCAGTTAGTCTCCTTTAAATCAACGTCTAAAATGTACTTTTATCATATTGCATTTGCTAATTTGAACGTATTCTAGTGTTTAGTATCTTAATAAGTGGTTAGTTGTTTTTGTTGTTTAATATTCTGTTGCACATTAAATGTTTTAATTCTTTAACATGTGTTTTTATTTGTGTTAAAGTTATAATTGATATTCCGTGTTTTTCATCATGACCCTAAAAGTACAAGTCTCTGACTGGGGGCTCTTGGTTGCAGGGGCCCCTGGCAGAACGTCTCCTGGTGCGTCTGGGTCTCGTCCCGCAGCTGTGACGTGTCTCAGGCCTTCTCAGACTTTAGACTCGACAACTTGATTCGTCTCGGCGTGCACCTCGGCCCCGGCTCCACCGCGTGGATCCAACCACGCAAGTTCGGCTACAGCGACTTCAGTCAGTGACAAACTGCTGCTTTAAAACCGTTTTCATGAGCCACATGTGAATAACTGTGTGACTCTCTCTCCCTCCCAGGATTCAGTCGTCCCTCTGTCTCAGTCTCTCTGAAAGATGAGCAGCTGCTGGTGGAGGTGCGGTTCCCCTGTGCTGCCAACAGGAGGTGCTTACCGGAGAGCTGCTGCCCCATCTCTGAAGTGATTGACCCCTGGACGACGGTGACTGTGTTCAACAAACGCAACCGCTCAGAATATCAGGTCCAACATGTCCTGACCTGCTGATCGTTCAGTTTGTCTCCAAGTTTACAACCTGAGGAATTCATGCTTGAAGTCTGCTAATAAAGAAATATATATATATTTGTCAAACTTTTAGCTATATCGGTGGTGAAATGAAAACTGGAAGAATTGTTTGAATCGTGTCAGTGAAATGTTTCTGATCTGTTGAATCTGTGGGTTTTGTTTTCCCTTCAGAGTCGGACGGTTTGGACCCAGGAGGTCGTGTCCTTCCTAGAGTTCTCTGGTTTGTCTTCGGGTCAGAACTACTGCGCTGTGGCCAACTTCTCCCTCCCAGCATTCTCCATGGCGGCGTCCCCAAAGTCCACGCTTCAGTGTGTCCAGGTCGTCTCCAAGTCAGGTGTAAAGACGAATAAAGATCAGTCAAATCAAAGTTTAAAGCTTGAGGAAGATGAATCTTTCACAGACGTGTCACCATCTTCAACCAGAAGACAATTCAAAGTGTTTTAGAGAAATAAAAGTTGCCAATATATTAAAGAAATATGAGGATTTATAGGAATTAAAATGAGTAAAAAAGATAAAAAATATAATAAAAATTAAAAAGCAGCTGCCAAAAAGGTCCTTGGATTTAAAGCACTTGGAGCAGAAGCAGGTTTTCTCAGTTTGTTCCAGATATAAAAGCTGAAGCTGTATAGTTTTGACTCTGGGGACATTTATCAGATGTCATAACACTATAAAACACAAGGAACCTGGTCCTGGTCCAAAGGATCTTTAGGTCGACCGATCGTGTCTTTGTTTGTTCCATAATCCCTGTTTTACAGCCGAGTCCAAAGGTGCGGTTAAATCTCCTGCTGGTGTGTTGGCTCAGCTCGTCCTGCAGCCTCACTGTGGACTCAGCCTGTTCACTGCTCATACATGTGTTCACCCTGTTTGTGTTTTCCTGCCACAGCGTCGCTGCCTGTGCTGTGTCTGGGAATCCTGCTGGTGTCGCTGCTCCTCGCTCCTCTCCTCGTCGTGGTTCTGAGAAACCCGGGACGAGCTGCAGCCACTGAACCTCCAGCAAAGACTCCAGTATACGAGTTGTCTTTTATTTCTCTCTTTGCTTTAATATAACACTTTTCCATGACAGATATTTCTCTCCTTTCTTTCCTCAAGTCTTCGGCTCGGGACCCCGTCTCTTTGGACCCTCGCTCCCTGGTCCCGGTCCCGGTCGACCCATGTGACATTCACATCGAGTTCCCTGACGACCACATCTCCATGGAGTCCTCCTCCAGCCTCCCCTCCGCCCAGGACCACACCTCAGTCCACAGTCCTGTCCAGCAGGACTCCAGCTGTGGTGCAATGTACTGGGACAGTGGAGGGACGGAGCTGGAGCGAGGCCTGGACTCTGGCCTCAGCGTCCCGCAGGTGTCTCACTCCTCTGAGGAGACATGTGACAAGATGAGACTGATACAAACAGACTGAGAGTCTCTGTGTCCCTCTGTGATGTAGTTTGTTAATTCCATGTCATATTATATTTATATTGTTATAAAAATATTGCTCAGTTTGTGGCAACAAGATTTTCTTACATGAGCTTGAGCCGGAGACAGAATGAAGAGTTTTACCTCTGCCGCCGTCCAACAGTCCCTTAACTTCAGTAAGGCTGCACCAGATTTCATACACTTATAAACATCAGTCCTCTAAATATATATTTTAAAATGTTTTTCATCACAATCTATAAATGTAAATGTAAAATGACCTGTTCACAGTGATTAAAAAAATAAAGAATCCTGGAGAACGACCTAAAATGACAGAAGGGGGGGGTTATTTGTTGTGCACTTCTTAGTCTGGTCCATGTCCAATCTGCAAACATGGAGGAGGTGGAGTTTATGAGTTATACTGCCAGCCACCAGGGGGCGACTGAGATGCTTTGGCTTCACTTTTGTGGAACAAAAAGGTCAAATATTTGTCCTCACAGGCCCGAACCTTCCTTTCTCCTCGAGCTCATTAACCAGAAACATAATGTTCCCTTCCTCTCGGGCCCTCAGATGACGTCTCGCACTGTGGCTCCCGATTTCAAACGTATAAGCACATTTCTCTGGCTCCGTCGTGAGTCAGAGAGTCGGCTGGTGAGTGAGATCTACCAATGGAGCAGAGATGGTTTATCTGACGGGTCCAAACGAGCTGTTTTTCTCTGCGGGTGCTCGTCCGCGGATTCGGCGAAAAATCTAAATCTGGTTGTGGTTCTTCTCGCTCTGCGTTTGGTGCCGAGCTCCAGTGTCACTCAACAGGCTCGTCCAAACCATCATCTCCATAAACAGGAACTAAGAAAACTTCTGACCCCCCGCCCCCCCCCCCAAGTGACAACAAAGGCCGGTTTATTCTGTCATCCACGGCTCTGTAAAGTTTCTGACTCACAGTTGCCCCCGTCGACGCTCCGCCGCCCCTTGCCCGTGACTGACACCTCATTCTGCGTCCTGCATGACGACCAGGAACATCTTGACATCTCGCTCCTCGGCCTCCTGTTTTCTGCTGGTGTTGCATTCTTTCCGCAACATTGGCGAGGCCTTGGAGGTTTGGCCGTCCAGCGTTGTTTGTTTCCCCTTCTACCTTCTCCAGAGTCCACAGAGACCTGGGGGGTCGTCCAAAGCTGTGCCGGGGCTTTTATTAAGAAACACAGTGCTGACATTGTGCACAGATGATTCATGTATGAAGCTGAGAGTTGGCTCGGGGGGGTTGAGCACCTGACTACACAACACAGCGGCCGGTCGCTGCAGCATCCAGAAGATGTTGAACTTTTTCTTTTTCTGCTTTTTACCGAAGCTTTTGAGAAAAATCTCCAGTTTGATGGATTTAATTTGGCTCATTATCAGAGTTTGTAACTGACAAATTATCTACACAAGGTTATTAAACCATCACTGTAAGAACTATTCTGTTCATAAAATTAAATAAAAGGTTTACAAGCTCAGTTTTGTTTTATATTGTCATGAAACTATTTGTGAGGACATTTCTTTTTCAAACTGCAATATTACTGGCTGCTGTAGTTTTTCTCCTGACTTAGAGAAATGATGTGCATGTTTTAAATCTATTTTTCAGCATGAGTATTGTATTAATATATAATGTACATAATAAACGTCCTGCACCATGACACCTTGACATGATCTGTGCATTTTGAGTGAACCTTTTACAATTCAGTAAAATACTGTTCTGGGTAAATTGCTCATTGTGTTTTTTACTATAAGATAAAAAATTACATTTTAGAACTTTAGAACAATTCATTTTGCAGGTGATTAGATAATTTATGAATTTCCAGAACGTGCACAGCAGATATCATGATGTACATGTGTATACTGGTGGCTTTGTTCTACTGAATTTAAATGCATGAGTTTATTATTTTCGTACTCAGCTTTACTTCAGTCAAATCAGCTGCTGTATGAATGAGACTTCAGAATCGATGCCTGAGGAAACGTACATCTTGTTCTTGATTGACATGTGTTCTACGGGTTTCCTGTCTTTCTGCGTCTGGCAGGAAATGCTTAGTCACTCGCTCTGACTCACCCTCACCCTCTGGGGGTCCGACTTTGTTTCTGCCCCCAGCGTCGACAGTGTGACCGTCCACAGATGGTCAGAGATGCTCAGTTAAGAAACGCGTCGCGCACCATAAACGCAGCATGGCAGCACTTTCTTTGGGCTTCGATGATGAAAATACGTCTTGAGAAATATACTTAGGAGCAGAACGTGTAGTTGTATCAACAGTCTTTTATTTGGCCGTACATTTCATTCATTCAATAATTAATATACATGATATATACATGAGCAAACAAAGATGCCCGTGTCCTTGTTCAGCCATCTTGCAGTAAAGGTTGGCAGTGCATTCTTGGCCTTTTTTAAAAACAGTGTCATTAAGTTTCTTCTCTTTGTCCTCTCTCTCTTTCTCTCTCTCTCTCTCTCTCTCTCTCTCACACAGCATCAGTGCCATACGATCAGCCGCAGCCGCGTTTTCCTGTCGCAAACGTTGGATCCACATCGTCCTCTCCCCAGAAGTCTCTGCTCATCTACGCCAGTACTGAAGAGACAGAGAATATAAGTTACAGCCGTTTGTTGAAGACTTGAAGGAGCCGCTCTGCATTTTGGGGAAAAAAACAAACTCACATGCCAGTTGTTAAAAAGAAAGAAAGAGAAAGAAGATCAATAAGATTCTGAAATGTTATAAAGCTGCTTCTTAAACTGATACATTTCTACACAGCAGAGAGAGATGTATTCATTACAACATGTTGCTGTGGTGTGTATCTATTTTTACATTTGTCTTACATGTGTTTTTGTACTATTCTAGTTTCCTCTGAGTTTGTTGAACATTCGATACGCCATCTTTTGAAGAATGTTACGTGTGTGTGCGTGTGTGTGCACTGACCTGGGCAAACTTGTGTATCTGCTCGACCACGGCAGCAAACAAAGCCCCCACACTCTCATCGATCAGACTCTGCATGTAGTGAACCGCCTCCTCATCCGACAGGTCCAATCGAAACTTGTCCTGCACCTGGAGGCAGAAAAACAAAACGATACAGTTGTCTGGATGGAAATATCAGCACTATCATGTCCCAGCACCGTTTCCTGTTCTGGACAAACCTACCTTCTTAACAGTCTTGTCAGGCTCCAGAGCAATGTCAGGAATATTGGCGTCCACCATGAGAGAGAACAGATTCAGGATCAGGTTGGAGTACCTGAAGAAATGGACGGAAGACGGACAGTTCATCTCTGCGGTTAAATACATGTTATACTTGATCTGTCTTCCTTGAAATAATCATTAACTCTGGACCTGGGCCACACAAGCTGCATCTGCGTCTCACGTGCAACTGTTGCCCAACGCTGGAGTACTTTTACTTTGAAAAGTTTGTAAGCGAGACGTTCCACATGCGGCGGTCAAGCATCCATCGTTGCCCGGGAATAAATAAAGGAAACGCGTGTATATTTGACGTAAAGTTTAAAAAAAAGGAGCTGCTCAGACCCAGAAAATGTTGGAAAGTCTCGGTTTTCACTCACAGTTTGAAACTTGAGTTATGAGTCACCTCAACAACAAAATAAACAACAGAGGTGTGTGTGTGTGTGTGTGTGTGTGTGTGTGTGTGTGTGTGAACCCCCACCTCCTGAGGTGCAGGAAGGCGGTGTAGCACTGCTTCCTGAACTCCTGGTACTGCTCGCTCTGCATGCCCCCCATCCCCTCCACCATCTCTTTACTCAGCTTCATGGGGGGGGGCAGGGGTTTGGGGTCTCTGCCCAGGATGTAGCCGAAGTCGATGTGGAAGAGTTTCCCTGCAGGAGGACAGAATATTCTCCAGAACAGTTTCGAGAGACCGGGATATTTATTCAAAGAGCGTGTGAAGGAAGACGTTTGTCTCACCCGTCTTCGTCAGGAGCAGATTGTCAAGGTGTCTGTCTCCGACTCCCAGGATGTACGTGATGACGCAGTAACCGGCTGGAAGGACACGGAGAGCGGAGTCACGTCAGTTAATATGTCCTTCAAGTGCAGAACGCAAACACACTGAGCCCTCATCTGTTATTAACTCACCACAGCTCTTGACGTAGGTGTCCATCACCTCGGAGCTGATGCCGTACGGCCCCTTTTCACTCGGTGCATGTTTCCTGAAGAAACTCTGTTGAAACAAATGATCGAGAGGATTATTTTTTTGTCCGTCTTCTCCACAGTGCAGATTATTATTAGATTCTGTTTTATAGACCTGGATGTTTCCTTCAGTAGCCAGGACCTCAGCCACAGGAACAGACTGGACAAACTGCATGAAACCTGGAACCAGAATAAACTTTCCTTCATTATTCTGAGTAACTAAATGTCCTCTCACATTTTTAAAAAGTTTTCATAAGAGTATTTGTTGTTTCAAATGGGACAAGCCAATAAAATATGTATTACTGGAACCTGTTTCTTACCAAACAGAGTAAAGAGTGATCTTACCGTGTTTGGTGCTGGTGGCCAAAACTTTGTAGGGAGTCAACTTCAGGTCCAGATTTTCTTTTCTCAGAAGCTGAGGACAAAATGTGCACAAACATTTATTTAAATCGAACAGTAAGTTTCAGAAATTCATATTTTGGCCCGAGAAATAACTGCAGGATCAAAACCTTTTGAGATGGTGTTTGTTGCAGAAAACAAACCACAGAGATCCCTGTCCTAAAAGTAATGTCTTACTTTGTCCATCAGTGAGATGATCTGCAGGATGAGCTGGTCCTGTCTCAGGTCGTCTCCGTGTTTGAAGATCACTGGGTACATGGCTCCGTCCTCGGCTTTGAAGATGAGCTTGGCCGGCATCAGAGCGCTCTGACACACGAACACAGAAATAACACTCGTCATCAATGTGACACAGGGCGCCCTTTTTATTTAATAGTTCCATCATGGACGTGATGAAAAATATTTTCTGTACCTTGAAGAGCGTCGCTGTCTCAGGAACGATGCCCCTGATCTTGATTTGAGGCTCCAGAGGAAGAGGAATTGGTTCGATCTCGGAAAGATTCACCTTCTCGTTGTCGGCCAGCAGAGCCTGCAGCCGCTCCGTCTGCACACACACAGGATTTAAAGGACTGTTGCACCTTGGGCTCTACTCACTTCGGTTCTAGTTTGTTTACCTTCTTCTTGCGATTTCCACTCTCTCTTTGCACGGCTTTCATCAGCTGCACCAGTCGGTCTACAAACGTCTGCTGGGCGGCCAACAGCGACCGCATCACTCTCACACTCTTATCACCCTGGGGGGGAGAAAAAGTGACGGTTAGAAATGGAGCAAAGAGACTGAGATGAAGACGGTAAATGTTCCTGTGATGAAAATCAGACCTTCAGTAAAGCCTGGCTGAACCTCCTCATGACGTTCAGGTACATCTCGTGGGTCTTAGGATCTCTCTGCTGAGTGTCCTGGTCCTCACACTCCACGATCACGTACCTGAGGGAAAACACGCTTGGTTTGTTGAGGGACGCACAAACTGAAACACATCCTCACTCAGGATGAAACTGGGAATGTGTCAGAAGACAGATCCGAGCTGTTCTCACCAGTACAAGTAGTTGGCCAGAGTGGAGTTCTTGCAGGCCCGGGAGATGAGGAACGTGCACAGGTCTTGCTACAAAGAGATACACACACGTTTGAGTTTAATCACACTCATCATGAAGCTAAAGCTGGAAACTGACTAGAAGAGGTAGTGTGAGGGTTTACAGGATGTTCTTGAATCTCCAGAACTGTCTGCAGAATCATCAGGGCCGTCCCCGATATTTATCAAACATGTTTATTCCAAGGCGAATAACACTTCTGATTCTGCTTCATTAAATGGTGTTTCTCTATGTGACACATGTGGATTTACTGCATTGTCTCATGAGACAATTATTTTGAGCCGTAGATTTACTCTCTGTTACATTTTGCTCTCCTTACCTCCATATTCTCGCTGTCGGCTCCGTCTTTGCCTTTCTGTGGAGCAGTGGAGGATCCACATGTTCCGGAGAGAATCTGAGAACTACACAAAACGGGAGAAAGAAACCAAAACCGATTAATAACAAACCTGTCGGAGAACGTGATGAAAAACATAACTGAGACTTTCTTCAAACTGACAAGACGTTGTGTTTCAGCAGTGAGGGTCAATTCATTTTTAGGTCGACACGGTCGCAGAGTTTCATTTCTCTGCCTCCAGCTGACGGCAAAAGATTCTGGCCAGAGCTCTGCCAGTAAAACCCAGATAACCAATGACTTCATTATGGTTTGTAAAAGAAAAATAATCACGTGAAAATATCCGAGATAAATTTAGATCCAGGCTGTTGAAAACAAAATGAGAAAAAAAATAATCACTGGAGGAAAAAACAAAGTTTCAGTCCGCTCGGTTACATTTTTAAACTATTTATTAATGATCCACAGCCGTAGAAGCTGTTCCAATTTCTGATCCAAGTGCTGACCTGTCCAGTGCGGAGTCATCTGAAAGTCCCTGGCTGTCTCTCTTGCTGCCTGGCTCCAGGCCTCCCTGAATATCACTGAAGTTTTCATATTTGAGCGCCTGAACCAGCTGCAGGAGATACATCAGCAGGTCCTGGAAAAGAGAGACAGGGTTAATTCCAAGTATTTTTCAGTTAAAGTATGAATAGTACTGAAAGAACTGGATAAGCACTCATTTTAAAACAAACAAAACAGAAGTTATATGTGAAACTGACCCATCATCATCATCATCATCATCATCATCCGCCCACACCCTACATTTATATCACATGTTCCTCCAGGCCTCTCTCGGCCCAGCACGCCTACCTCGTCGTCTGCCTGTTGCAGCCGCGCCACGGCGTAGCGTCTGACCGTCGGGTTGGTGAACTGGGACGACAGCAGCTCCAGCGAGTCCTCCACGTCCATGGGCCTCCACTTCCCCAGCAGCTCCAGAGCCTGCTTGGCCTCCTGGGGCAGATCCCAGTTCACGCACTTGAGGAACTTTGTTAATGCCTGAAGCGAGAGGAGGAGGGATTTCATTTCATCTGTGCACGACCGTGTGTAGACACAAAGGAAGTGAGGTTTGGAGGGAAATCTGTCAGGTTACGCAGAGTTATGTAGATAAACTATAGACATCCCACCTTCTCCTGAGTGGTGAGGTAGTATCTGAACTTCCACACCAGGTCCTGTTCTTCAGAGCTCAGCTGCTTGGTTGGAGGGTAGCTCACGATGATCTGGTGGTGCAAACAAACTGGAAGAGTGACATCTGGAAAATGGGTTCTGATATTCGGCTATGAAAGGCATTCTGGAACATATTATGAAGCATGTGACCCAAGCAGCAGAGCTACTCTAATCCCACATCAAGAGTACGGCTGAGAGGTTGTGACTCCAAACTTATGACCCAAGACATTTTAAAAGAAGCTTAAGCATTGCCTATAAATCCTTTTTTTTATTGTCATTTCCTGGATCAGGATACTTTGATTTCTCACTTTGGATAATTTGGTGCGCAAATGAAAATCTGGATCCAGTGAATGTAAACATGGTTCTGAGGTATGAGCTCAGCTGAGTCCTCTGGTTTTATAAGATTATAGATCTGCATTTTGTGCCACCTCCACTTTAAATAAGTTATGTAGAATAATAAAAGTATTTCTAGGGTTAAAAAGTGAAGTAACTTACATTGAGCTGGTCACGTGTGGCAGCGTTGGGCTTCAGGTCGTGATCTGATGGCCCACTGCGCAGGCTACGAGCCAGTTTGTGATGCTTGCTCTCCACCAGGTTCTCCTGAAGGGAAAAGAGACTGAATTCAAAATACTGTGACTTTAACAAACTTACATGCTAATTGTCTATTTCCCCAAGATCATCACAGTCATCATTAAAGTGTCTGTCCTCTCACCATCCCCATCTGTGGGTCAGGAACTTTGACAATGTCGCAGCTGGTGAGAACGGGTGACGTGTCGTCTCCATCCTGAATGGGACCAGATACACATGAATCAGAAAGTTCCCACTTTATGGATATTACATGTTAATATGAACTTTTTACATGCTTACAAATATTGAAATACCTTCTCATAGTAGACAATGCTGTACTCCTTGTCGTTCGTTTTGACGCGAGGGAACTCCACCATGAGGTACATAAAGTTAGAGCTGCGTTTCTCACTCTGCAGAGACACACACCAAACAGACTTTTAAAAAGATATCATATGTAGTATTAAAAATCAAAAGACAACATACGCTCATGAAAAACGCAAGTGCGAACAGTGAAATGTCCGAGACAATCCTGCATTCCTCCAATATCACTGGGTATAGACAAAGAGACTCGGTGACAGCGTCTGACCTCATTGATCATCTCGATCTCTCTGAAGGTGAGCCGGTCCAGCCAGTCCACCTTCACCATGTGGCCCTGTCGATGGGCCTTCGTCAGCTGGAAGGACACAAGCGATAGAGGAAGGCGGGAAGAAGAAAGATGACGGGGAAACAAGGAAAAGAGAGAAGTTTACTAAAATACAAAAAACAAAGAGTAAATGTAAAATATACAGAGATGGAGGCTGTGGTCACAGTGTGGTGGCTGGTGTGCAAACAGCTCCACCAATCATGCACAAACTCATGTGCCAGCAGCCAATCCAGCGTCTCCGCTCACACACACACACGCTCAGTAGCCAATCCACTCATCTGTCAGTGTGGGTGACGGGAATGTGAGCGCACACTTGGCCATGAGCAGGAAGCCCAGAACTCTGCAGGTTAGAATTAGTTCTCACTCTTTAAAAGATCAACTAACGACAGCCTGGAGACAACCTGAGATACATTAAGTCAACTGCACACAGCGTTAATAAGAAAAATGGAGGAACACGTGACTAAGTTATTAAAAAACAAACCAAACCTCTAAAATGAAGGCGACATCCACACTTTATGTTTTCATTGAATCCTTTTAAATTAACTCTACGGATACACCGGGCGTCCAGCAGAGAAGTTTAAATGCTTCTGACCCCGTTTTAGTTTGAAAACTCTGGGGCTGCATTTTATTCTGGACGGGCAGGAACTGAGACGGTGACGTTACAATGATACAACTGCTCACATGTGTAGAAGACGAGCTATTGTATGAGCGTATGTGACAATTCCCATGTCCAGCCTCAGTGGTCACATGATATGCGTTTTCAGGCCTGTTGGTATGAACAAGGATTCAAACTGATCCGGATTCAAAACACTTGTGCGGACAGAGATCCTTTTATTTTGAAAACGCATTTGTATGGATGTAGCCTCAAATGAGATGTTCTCCTCTAAAATATTTTAAAAACCTGCAACAAGTTTAAAAATATAATTTCCAAATCCATGCACGAACACTTAAAATAAAACAACTACTGGCAACAGCAGAAAACTTCAAAACCAATGTGTGTGAAAGGACAAGACTGAAATCAATCTGCAAATACAGTTTGTCTGAGGTCTTCACACACGTACGGTACACAACTCCAACACACACACACACACACACACACACACACACATTCTGCATTGCCAACACTAACTCCTCCACTTGTACTCACATCACCGAGCACCTCCAGGTCAGGGCCCTGGAACAGATCATTGTTTAGACAGGGCTTTGCTTCGGAGGGTTTCTCTCTTCATCCAACGTACACATTGTTTCCGTTTCACCCTCCATCTTATCTCTTTCCTTTTTCCTGTCTTTTCTGTCCAACTGCCTCCTTCTCCTCTCCTGCACCGTTACACTCATCTCTCTCTCATTTTTAACCCTGTTCTCCTATCCACACACACGCTGTACCTTGGCGAGTCTGCCCATCTGGTCCTCTGCCAGGCTGCTGCTGGTGCGGCCTGGTGTGGTGGTGGGCTCCCCTCCATCCCCCTCCACGCCCGGCCAAACTTTCAGGTCGTGCATCCCTTGTCGGAACATGCTAGAAGAGGGCAGCAGCGGGACGTGTTTCAATGTTACATATTAGTGTTTCTGCAAACATCAGCATCAGAATCTTTGCAGCTGTGGGCTGTTGGCAAAATGCAGCAACATCTGTAACACGAAAAATGGTACGAGAGTAGACTCACCCATATTTGCCAAACAGGGTGACAGTGGTGCCCCCCACGGGTACAGCTCTGCCAGGGCCATAGATGTCCCACACTGTGAGGGCCACCTGGGCACTTTGGGGAAGATCTGGATATTTGACTGGCAGCCGGAGCCACTCGTTCCAGCTGCAGAGTACAAGAAATAAAGGTCTGAGCAGCTGATATGTAACTTTATGAAGGGATTTGCGATTATTGGAGGGAGTTTAAGTCAAAAAAACAAACCTTTAAAGCAACCTGCTTCTAAATTAAGACTAAAGATCGAATTGACACAAAGGCGGGAAGAATAGATAAATGTGGAGAATATACATCTGACACTGGGACTCACTTCCAACGTGTGCTGAATGCTTTATACGAGGTGCGAACAGGCAAGGCGAGAGGTTTTCCTTCAGCAAACACCTGACAGGTAACGTAGAGGTCCGAGCAGTTCTCCTGGTAGAGGCCTGAGAACCGAAGCATGGGGTCTTCAAGCAGAGCCTTGTAGCTCTTCTGCTCTCGCTTTCCTTCTAAACTGCCTCTGGAGGAGGAGAGAGCAGAAAGATAGAGATAAAGATAAAGACAGGGAGAAACACGGAGTCGGTTTGTTGATGTCCTAAAGACGGAAAAGATTCAACCTCTTACAACTAAATCAAGTTGTTTGAGACGTATTCATGGTCGACTTTTTATTTATTTATTTTTTTTAACACTGTCTTTTTAAAGTTTATAAATTATTGGATGTGATTTATGTCAACTGAATTTTATTTCATGTTGATTTAAAAGTTTCAGCCAGAAATAATAAGACTCACAAGTTACACACGTGATTCTCTTTAAGGGACAATTGTCTGAGTCACGGTGGAGTAAACATCATGTTTACTGCTTCACTCAGTTGATTTCACTTAAACCGAGACAAATAACTGAAATCAATGTATTATTCATGAGTGGAAATGTTTTCAAACTTTAAAAACTAGATCATAAAGGCCAGATGATTTTCACTCCTGTTTTTTTTAACAGGATTACGCAAAAACTGCAGAACAAGTTTCTGCAAAACTTGGTGAAAGAATGAGACACGATGATGACAAATGAATACATATTTAAAAGTATGAGTAGTTTGACGCAGCTCGATTGAATTTAAGTGGACTGCTGGGTGTGGTTCTAGTTTAGCAATTACATAAAATTATAAATGTATAGATATACTTGAACAAATGTGAAGAATCGCTGCAACTACTAAAACTATGACCTCTTTTATTCTACTGTTTTAAATCTCCCGCATTTGGCTCGAAGGTTTATTCGAACTGTGTTTTCTGATCTTGAAATGTTTTCTTACTTGGCCTCTGTGTTGTTTTGAATCTCTGTGTATTAAATGTGCGTCCTGAAGAAACCAAACAGACTGAAAACTGCTTTGCAAACTCAGGAGCATGTTCAGGTAAAACTCATTAAATTAGCTGCTGATGTAAAACTAATGTAGAAGAGTCTGGAAAGAGCAAAGCACATGAACGTCACTGATCCATGTTCAGGGGACTTGGGTTAGCTTCTGTCCCCCACAAAGGGAAGTAGTGTCCCCGCAGCGCTGGTGTGTAATCGGATTGTCCCACAACACACGAGACGAGAGACAGAAAACTCACATCTTGAGCTGGACGTTGATGTCCAGGTCACAGCTGTAGACATAGTTGAATTTATCAGTGTCCATCTTCCCACCGGGAAACACTTGAACCAGAGCCCCGAGCGCTCCACCATGAACCCCCCCCTCCCCTCCCCCAGGACGGTTGGTACAAGGAGACAAGGCCCCGGATCAGCGCACTGAAACTCGGCCGAACCCGGTTCACGCAGCGCGGACACGGTCGCAGACGGCACCGGCGCTTACACGGGCTCCCGCGCGGACGGATCGGGCCGCTGTGCTCACGGTGAAGTCGGTGTTCTGACGCAGGTCCGCTCGGGCATGATGCGGTGTTTTCACCGAGCGACACAACAACACCGCACACCACTGACATCCACTGCCCAGGGGGAAGTCATCGAACCCGGATGCAGCGGAGCTCCGAGGCGTTCACCGGCCGCGGTTGAGATCGTGCATCGATTAGTCGAGCCTGGTGAGGGAGAAGTAGGAAGTGAGGAAGGAGTGGGCGGGGTTTCCAGCGTTGCTTCTTAAAGGAACACTGCACCCAAATTAAAGGGATAGTTCACCGCGAAATGAAAATCATCAACTCATCAGAGTTCCAAAGGGGTAAACAGTGTTTCTCTAAACGCAAAAATACAAGAAATAAAAAAAAAACACGCTGCTCCTGTGGTGTAATGCAAGTGATCGTAAGCCTCAACATTCACATTTAGCTTGAAAATGTACTCCATGTTTTTAAACTTAATGTCCTCTACCGGAAGGTGTGATTAGTGTGGCACTGGACTGAAGCTATAAGAGGACATCTAGACTGAAAACATTGTGTAAATGAAGCCGTTTTGTATTAAATATGAATGTCGGAGCTTACGGACACTTGGATTTTATGTTTTTTATGTTGTTTTCTTACGTTTGAAGAAGTGGTCCCAGTTAACACTGTTTACCCCTGAACCTCCAAAAGTATAATTTTAGTTTGGTTTCAGAATGCTGCAACATCTGTTTTCCCTTTAGCATCAGAGACAGTGTGGACACAGTGGTGAATAACGTTTTAGGTCACACGTTGTGTAATTGAAACTGAACTTAACAATGACTGAAGTATTTAATGTAAAAAAAATAACATTTTACATGTGTTTTCAGGGCGTTTATGTTAGTTTGTGAGCAGCCTGTCTCCATGACTGACTGTCAGTGTGAAATAAGCAGTAAAACAGTCGTCTTATCAAAGATTCCACTTTCCAAGTTTAATGATTTCATGACGACAGTCTCGTAAAATTTTAACAGAATGTTCTCTCCAATTAAAATGCGCTTGCCACCAATTAAGTGCACGTCCGTGAAGGGAAACAGGCGTGTGACAGGAAAATCCTCATCTTTTGTTATGATGAGATCCTCCCCTCTCATCAAACTGACGACAACGAGCTGACAAATGGGACTGTGAACTCATCCTCACTTTATTACACAGTGGCTCTGCAGAGGTAAATATCTGAACTTAGAATAATAGAAATATCACCTTAAACAAATAACGATAATGTATATAAATCAATAAGGAAAGTGACTAACGAATGTCCAAACTTTTCCATTAGGCCTTTATAACATAATTACCTGTATGTTCAAATTAATGACAGAAAAAGTGAGCAGGCTGAGAGAGGCAAGTGTGAGTCATAGAACTGAGAGAAAAAGAACCCCTGATGAGGAGGACCTATCAACACTCTCCGACTACTGTGGGGTACCAGAGAGAAGGCACGTAAAAGCCCACGTTCTGTTGCCCCGGGGCCTCCTGTGAGAGCTTTGAGAGGATTTTTCCTATGATCTGGCATGTCGCACTGCAGATAGTAAACAAGTGGAAGAAGATGAGCTAATGTTTTGTTGACCCAGGGAGGAAGATTGCGCTGCATCGTCAGGTCAAAGTTTTTTCAGGGGTGAAACTACGACAGAGATTATATAGAAATATTCCAACTGCACAACATATAAGATTGGTTGGTAAATCTGTGAAAATGTAAAAGAAAATCTGAGAAATGTTAAAGAAAGTGATATAAAAAAAATCCTTAGATCCAGTCCATTGTCTGGATGTGTACTGGGTTCTTTATTGACCCATGTTCCATCCTCCCACCAAGTTTTGTGAAAATCCATCAGGTAGTTTTTGTGTAATCCGGCTGAAAAACAAAGAAAGAAAGAAATCGTCAAATGAACGGACAGGGGTGAAAACAGAAGCTTACTGGTGGAAGTAACTATTTTGATTATTGATTCGTCATCTCAAGTCAATTTTTTCCTTGTCCCGGCCTCAAAGTGTGAAGATTTTCTCTCTTTATTCATTGTAAATAATACTATTTTGTTTTGGGGATGTAAATTGGACAAAATTATACATTTGAAGACATTGTGCTTTAAGAAACAGTGACGAGTGTTTCTGCTTTTACATTTGCTCTTGTTTTTGCTATTGGCCAAATTTGACTTTTTCTAACTCGATTTTCTTGGTGTCTTGATATGTTGTTTATATTGTAAATGAGGTTTCTCTCTCAGTGTATTCCCGAGCTGAAATAACGGTTGAATGAAAAGTCAATAGAAAAGAAGAAAAGTTGGTTTTACTGGTGGTCAGTTCATGTACAGAGACGAGGATGACAAAGGAAAAACCCACAGTGTCATGGTGAGGTGTTGGACTTTAGTTTTCCTTGACGTTCAGCGACTTTCTCAAACTCTCCGAGAGATATGAACCAAATGTTTCCAGGAGATAATTCCTCGCTCGGTGTTTTGACGATGGCGTTGGTGTGCACTCTCAATGCAGACATCTTCCATAGGTGTTCAGTTGTGAAGCAAAGGCCACAGCTCATGATTCATACTATTTTCATAAACGTCAGAGCAATCAGTGACTCCCTGTGCCCTGCGTGGAAGCATCTGTATCCATTTATCCAGCTTTGTGCATTCAGACCAGTGACGGCCTCTTGTACTGCACAGTGACACACTGCTGTACTGCTGTGGGTTTACATTTAAACTGAAGATTATTTGTTTCTTTATTCGTGTTTATCTCAGTGTTTTAAATGTGTATGAGTCTCATGTTCAGTTGCTGGACGACCATCTGCACTACAGAACCCTATGAAGAGTTTAAATGGTGATGAATCATGTTTGATAGTTCCACCCTTCTTCCTCCTCCTCCTCCTCCTCCTCTCCCTGGACGTCACCTCTCTCTTTCTCTCCCTGCCCTCCATCTCACCTCTCTCCTACCCTTCCCTCTCTTAGTCACAGCACCGATGTGTCATTCTTTCTATCACTTTGGAGGTTCATGCCTGCTGAAGCGCAGCGAGGTGATCTCTGGAGAGCCAAAACGGTGCCAAGACTGCTCCACGCAAACCGCCACCACCTCCTCGCTCCCAGTGGATGGCACCCCCAACGCCTTCCCCAGCCAGCACTGTGAGAAAAAACCACGCCTCCACGCCGTGGTGGATGCAGCCAGGGTGTATAAATGAGGGTGCAAACGGGTGAAGAGGAACCAGAGGCAGATCAGACCAGATGAAGATGGACATTTCCAGGGTGAACTGGGTTCTTGCAGCTGCAGGGTTTCTCCTGTGGAGCAGCGGTGGCTCTGCTGCCCCCATGGAGTGCCACTTTGACTCAAGAGGTGAGGCCCCAAACTTTAACATCTCATTGGCTATTTGAGTAATGCCCTAACTACCATATGTTTTTTGTCCAGCTCTGTGTGTGTTTGAGGGAAGACAATACTCCCTGGGGGACACCTGGATGGACAACGCTTGCATGCAGTGCACCTGTCTGCACCCTGTTGGAGTCGGTTGCTGTGAGACGTGAGTACCCAGACGTCCTGTTTGGTTTATTGCCCAGATGCTCGCAGATGCTGCAGCTTTAGAGAGTCTCAATGAAGTAGGAGTGAAGATTTAAATTGATGCATCATAGGAAACTCTGGCAACGGTGGAAGAAGTGTTCAGAGGTGGCAAAATTACAATTTTACAAAATTACAATGTACAATTCTAGACGATTATCACGTTTGTATTCAAATATAAAATGTAAAAATCAACTATAGCTGTAGAATAAATGTAATGGAGTAAAAGTACAATATTTGAGAAACGTTGTGATAAAGAAGTATAAAGTAGGGCTCCAGAACAATTTCTTTCATTTTGTTCAGGCTGTTTTCTTCAAAATGTGAAGTCTTGACTGTTACACCATAGTTGTGGATTCTTCTGTGCCAGTGAACCAGCTCAAGAAATTGAATCAAATGGGAGTTTCCAGTCTGCATGATAAAATATAAAAGTATCTTAAAAACTGAAGAGCCACAGAGTCTTCTCCTTTACCTCCAGGGTCCATCGGCCGGTGGATTTCCCTGCGTGGTGTCAGGTGCGTGTGGAGCCAGTGACCTGCAAGGTGTCTCTGGTGCAGGTGGCCGACCCCCGTCTGCCCTGCTACTCAGGCGAACACTTCAAGGACCCGAGCCAGGGATCATTTCAGCTGCAGCAACAGCTCGAGGGGTAGAGAGCCACTCGAACCCAACCATCTGTTGGATCTGTTCGCCTGTGAAACCAATACTCACTCCAGTTAAATATCAGTTACTACTTCTTTCATATACATACTGTACAAATATAAAACCTTAACAGCATGTGTAAGTTTCAGTGTTTGTATCGTCACAAATGTGACACTCGTCTGTGAAAGTATATTTAAATAAAGCTGCAGCATTTTCCAGCAGAGAATTTTATGAAACAAATTAAAATTCAAGTTTACTTTAGATAAATCTTTTTTTATTTGACATTAGTTATTAGAAGACTACATTTGTCTGCCTATAGTGGCCAAAAGCTTCAGACTTAAGGATGCAGAAGCAACATAACTTTTATTTTTAAATACAGAATGTGGCGAACTTGTGCCAAAGATTGTTTGTAAAAAAAAAAAAAATCTCCATCACATTATCACATTAAGCCGAATGTCAGATCTTTAATCAATTCAATAATTCCTTTTGTAAATATAAACACAGTATATACACATGCATTAATATATACAAATTCTGCTGAATTTGCCCTGTTCTCTGCTGTAACTCATTTAACCTTCAAATAAAGTTCTTGTTTATAAAGAGAAACGATGTCAAATTCTGTGAAGTAACAGATGAAGCATTTAAACATCATTTTAATCACACTTTTAATTTCTCTTGTAGTACATACACCTCAGTACAGTCCTCCGTTCAGCCCTTGAAGCTAAAACAAAAACGGTTAAACTGTAAAAATATCATGGATAAGAAAAAGCTGTCTCATAAAATCAGAAATAAAGTGTCCGAGACAATAAGAAAAAAAACCTGAAATAAATACAGACACGCACAACAACCACAGAGAGAGTTGCACTTCACACAGTTTATGTGCGTCAGTCTTCCTAAAAAGGAAAATATAACTTTAACATTAGGATGCATAAAAGAAATGCACAAGACAAAGGCAAATTACAGAATGCATACTTTACATATAAGTCCATCACTTACTCTGCATATTCAATGACACAAAAAAACACTCTCTATTCCAGGAATGTGCACAACTCTGCTTATGTTCCACATCTGGAGAGAAACAAACAAGTTTGTCAATCTCTCCGTCTCTCTTACTCACTCACTCACTCACTCACTCACTCACTCACTCACACACACACACACACACACTGTCGATACGTCAAACACACATTTTCAACTCCAGATCATGTCACAGTCAAATATTAATCCTGTTGGTCCCTGTAAACTGGGACATGTAGGACGCCAAGGCCGGGTTGGTGGGCAGGACTTTGATCGGCAGATCCCAGCTGAAGGTGTCCACATCCACGTGCTCCGCCCCGGCCCAAACCGTGACCTCTGATTGGTTCTGCAGAACGGTGGGTGGTTCCATAGGCTCCCCGGCCGTGACGAATTCAAAGTGCAGGCGCCACCGAAGAGATACTGTACGGAGAGGTAAACGTTTGGGGGTCAAGTTCATGTTTGACTGAATATTATTGAGTTAGAATGAATCTTGATCATCAGATGTCTGGGAAACAACTGGAGACGCCACAAACATATCAGTCATGTTTGTGCCCGCTGATTACTCACCTATGTCTGTGCTGAAACCCGGTGTGACGTTGAGGGGGATGGGGAGGGAGAAGTGGCTGGAGGCCGTGTGGAGGCACGACTCCATATGTCGCCCATGTCCGGTCACGCTGACTGCCTGGCCAGGACGCCGCTGGTACTGCTGCTGGATCTCCTCCTCACTCTGGAGGCTCACTGAATACTGGAAACACACAGGAAGTCAGAATTCACATTAATGATAAATCTAAATCTAAATGTACAAAGTGTGCAGCGGTGTGCAACTACAAGGACTATAAAGACACCTGTAAGCAGGGGATGTCACCCTCGGAGAAGTTGAATGTGCCGACGATGTCCTCCCCGAGTCTGTAAACAGTCTTGAAGATGCAGAACTTTGCCACTTTTCCTCGCATATTGGTGATGTTGAACATGTCTGAAGAAAACAAAGAGAAAGTGGATAACCACCTTTTACCTCTTTGAAATGCTCCTGATTAGAGGCTTTATTCAAAAAAAGTTTTCTGCACAGTTTATGTTTATTTATTTTGTGTAGCGTTATGTGTGAAATAAAACATTTCAGTAGTAACAGTAGAGCTCAAAGGCTGAACTGAAAGTAAAGTATAACACATTTCAAACCTTAACATGAAAATAATCAACTTGAAAACAATAAAAATCAATTATACCTGACAAACAACCATTTTATTCTCATGATGTCATTTTTCACATTATAGTGCGGAGACTGAGAATCTGACTCACGTGGGCATCGTCTGGAGGTGGTGACCATGAGCATGTCCAGTGCTCTCTCCAAAGGACGAGCATCCCTGCGGCTCGCTTCCTCTTCCTCTAGGAAAGGGTTCGAAGGGGACACTTCCTCATCCTGGGGAAATGGAGGCTCCGGCATGCCTGCAGATCAGACAGGAAAACATCAGCAATTACATTTGCACAAAAGTTAGAAGTCTCACGATGAGACTCATGAGTCTTTATTTCCCCAGACGCAAGATGGTGATAACAGATAAACTGGTTTCTTTCACTCACCAAAAACCTTTCTAAAAACACCATTAGTTTAGTTGCTGCTAGAATTTTCCTCATTCTAATCTTCACCAACAATTACAGTTAAAGCAGAAGTGAACATTTCACCACTCTTGTGGTTTCACAGCATAAGTGAAACACCTCATTATCACTGAAGGCATCTCACCCTGCAGCACCAGCACTCTGAAGGGAACTCTCAGTAGTTTGATGGGCGAGTTGACTCTCTGGCAGCCGATGGTCAGTTTGTAGACGTATTTCACCGCCTGACCACGGAAACTAGGAGGACCGTCTATGGGCACGACTTCACTGTACGAATCTGTGGTTGAGTGAATCACAAACAGAAGAATACGAGTTTACATTTACGTTTTGGAAAATAATACCATATGTTTAATGTTACTCTCAATAATCTGGGAAACATCAACAAGGAGGTATAACTTTAGTTATTTAATCACAGATACTCATGCATGAGAATATTTAGCTCATTTTAAACTAGTGGATTGTTATGAATACACATTTTTCAGACATCTAAGCACACTTACAGGTTTTGCTCTCCCCGGGGTCCAGACGTAGGTCACAGAACAGTATCTTAGGTGGTGTGTCCAGCACACACTGTCCTCGCTCTCCTGCAGAGGAAAAGAATAAGTGCTGCAGAGAATCCACATGATGCAGGGAAGCTATTGAAACAAGAAAAAAAAAAAAATCTAGATCTATTCAAATTTTGTCTGGAAAAAAAATGGCTGTATTTTAGTGTGGAGAAAAAAATGTGTGTTTGTTTTAATCAAACACAATACACTTGATGCAAATGTAGTTCTATTAATATTATATATAAAAAAATGGATTTTCAGTTCTTCCCACTGACCTCTGCTTGGAATGAGCACTGTGTCGCTCTCAGCCTGGACGTCCTGTTTGTTGCCCTGGGCCGGCAGTGCCACCCTGTTCTCACTGGCATGAAACTGACAGTGAATCTGTGCACTGGCCCACGCCAACATCTCACTGGGACACATTTGGAAAAACAAGAGTTACAAAATATAAAGTAAAACATATAAACATTCCAGTTTTTACAACATTGTTAAGATATTGCTTCCCTGTCTCTTCCCTCTTCACCTCATCTTCTTTATCCTCAGGACAAGAAAATACACAACAAAGAACTGTCACTCAGCTCTGCAGCTCTTCATCGTCTCTATGGTTTATATTCAACATTTGGATCTGTGGATTACCTCCAAAGCCTGCGTGTTACGTGTGGAAGCTTGCGATCAGCAAATACATGACCGGGGGGGATCTTACCTGCTGGCCGAGGTGGAGAGGTGCGACATGGGGTTGGTGAAAGTAATGAGACACTCCATGAGCTCCCCGGCCAGAAACACGGGACCTCGGGCCATGGAGGCCACCACCTCGATCATCTGTGGCGAGTAACAACAAGGCTTCGTTAGCTACAGAAAGATTCCACGTGCGGACGACACAATGAATCTGGACGCGTTTGTTTACTCTGGATACAAATGTACGTGTTGACCGGCTGCAGACCGGAGTGGACTTGTTTAGCTAACAGCTCGTTTTAAACACTTACCTTGGCCTCAAACGACGCAGCAGCGGGACTGTCACGTTATCTTATCCCAGGGTGGAACTTAAATAAACTTCTGGAGTGAAACAACTCGAGATCGGATCATGTTTCACAGGAATTTCACCATGTTTGCTCCAGTTAGCCACAAGTCCCGCGACAGTAAACAAGAGTGGAGGAATTCTACGTCCGGTGACGTGCGACAAAGCGCCAACCAAGAGAAAAACAAAATGCCACAAATATAAAGATTTAGAGAAAGATCTTTGCGTTGAATTCAATAGAAAATTTCGACTAAGAGTCTGAGTGAAACCGCAAAATTAATCACGCGCTTTTTAACGACTAAAACAACAAAAATGTAAAACTCCGGTAAAGTTGTTGGTCGGCCATTAAAACACGTCACGTGGCAAAGGAGAGCGGAAGGTTAGCCGTTGCTATGGTAACTACTCGGGTGCCTTGAATTCAACACATATATTTAATAATCTTTGATTTTCTCGCGCGAACACGAAAAACTGCAGGGAAACAGTCAAAATTCACGTTTATTAACTTTACATTCATAAAATGCAACGACAAAGGTCATTTGAGTGGAAATTAAAAAAAAGCCGACATGAAGAAAACCCCTCCTCGCTACTCAAAGTGGTACAGCCTCAGTAGGGAAGTTTTGCGACCCTAAGTGAGGTCTGTCAGGCAAACATCAAATCTGTACCGAATCTCTCCGTCAGGCAAACATTAAATCTGACTCCAGCGACATTCAACAGCGACTATTCACTCCTAGTTTGTGATTTTAATGTAGCTCGGCAGCTTAGTTGCAGAATGAGGACGAAGCCACGGGCAGAGACAGTGGCCTGGGAGTCTAATCCGAGGGCACCTGAGGAGGGAACAGCTGTGCTAGCAGAGGAGACATGATGCTGGGAGCGGGTCAGAGCTGCAGAGGGATGACGACGCTGCTCCGGTATTTTAACAACAATCACCTCTTCCCTTGATGGTGAGTTAGCTCGTGGAGTTAGCCGCTGCCCCCGGGCTGTGAAACCAGGTGGAGATTTAAGCTAACGCTACATGCATGTGTCACAGTGTTGATGTGAATCCAGCTCGCGGAGGTGCTAGTTGCACATCTGCTCTCCTGAATGTCCCGCAGGTGGTTTTGTTTTTTAACCATCTGATCGTGTCTCGTCTCACTGTAGGTGTCCCGGCTGAATGACTGAGGTCCTGCGTCCTTCTTCTCAGGCTGTCATCCATCCATTCATCCACTCAGCAGCCGCAGCTGACAGCGCAGCCACTTCCGGGCTCTGCACAAAGAGCTCTGTCCTCCCTCAAATACAGGAATCCCGAGGGCGATGGTGATTCGGACCATTTAGATAGGATATGAACCTATGGAGCTGTAGGGACTGGCTGATCATGTGGACAGTGATAACATAATCAGTGCTTTAGGATCTTCCTATCTGAAGGAGTGAGTATTTACTACTCCTCTGGGTATTCAGAGCCTAAACCAGTTTGTCCCACAGGAAGAACTGTGCAGTTAACTTATCCACCTGCAGCCACCACATCTGGGTGTGTGTGCTCCACAGTGAAGGCAGGATAGATTAACTGACTAAAGGTGGAGACAGATCTGTGCTCGGAAGAATTTCCCTGCTCCCTTTCAGTACTTTAAGCTCCCACCGGTGGAAACTCTGCCACAATGACTACAGACTGGGGTGAGAAGTCCACAGCGGACCTCATGAGTAGGTATGACTCCAAGGAAATGGGATGTGGAGTACCCAACGAGGGCTGGCGGATCTGTCTGGCTCACGAGTTCAAGGAAAAGAGAAAACCCTTTCAAGGAACAGATGTGTCGCTGTCCAACATCTGGTATCACCTCGGCCTCGGAGTCAGGTGAGACTGAACACAGAATTCATTATGAGGAGGTGCAGAGAGAGGAGAAGCATTGAAAGAATCCATTCAAACAGAAGCACATACCTCTGCTGAGACTAACGCCCTGGCGTTGTTTTACAAAGTGAAAATAAATTCCTGGATTCACCAGTTTATCCAGATACAACTGATTCATCCTCAGGCCATTACCCACCCCTGCACAAAATGAAATGGAAATTTGGTTTTATAATTTTGGCTTACTCCTAAACTAACAAACAAACGCTGATGAAAACAACCACCTTGGTAGTGGTATCAATCAAATACTTTTTCCGTTGGCTCTCTGAACACCCGCCAGCAGACTTTTTTTCACCCTGGCTGTTTCAGTTTTACCATTTCACACCTTTGAGCATTTCCATGGTGTAATACCTGCAGAACCATTATCCTATAGTGTCATATTTCTCCGCCCACACCTAAGAGAGAGAGAGAACAGGTGTTTGGTGCATTGAAGCAGCTGATGCAGCCACAGGTAATATTATTTACTTTTCCATGAAGCCCAAAAAGAGTTCAAAATAAAACAATTACTGTGTCACATTAAGGCAGTTTAAGATACATCAGATTCTTCAGTTACGCCAAAAGAAGCATTAAAGCAGTTAAAAAGAATGAATGAATTTTAATTATTAACCTAAATGATTTTAAATTGAACAAAAAAATCTTAAATGAACCTTTCAACTGTTTAACTGACTCAGATTGCAGCTACAGACAGTTCTGTGTACAGATGGTGGTGGAAGGTTCTTTCGCAATGTTCTCAAACATTCAGTTGAGTGCACATATTCAGATGATAGATGGTTCTCAGTTTCTTGGTTTTTGGTCTTTTAAACAGCTTTTCTAGCAAACTGGACAATAATAATCACAGCACCGTTCTTTTGTAAAGCTTGTCAAGTTGTTTCTTGATGAAATGAACATGTGGTTGACCTTTTCTTTAAAGTGTCACTCTGGTTGCAGGTCAGCCAGTTCAAGGGGCAATTTGTATTCTCCTCCATGACCCTCCAACAATAAAGGCAGGAAGGTCGAGGGGTCTCTCATTTACAGTCCCACAAACATGACAGGAAACACTACATCCGCTTGTACAGCTGTGACAGCTGAATTGTTGGCCTACAGCTACAGAGGAAGAAAAAGAGATCTAGCTCATATCTCCACGTGTGTTGATCTTTTTGAGTTTGTTTTTGCAACAACCTGCTGACACCTGAGATGGAAAAGCGGTACATTGTGCAACTTTAGAGGAGTGTCGGGCTCACAGCCAGAAACAGTTTACGTTTCTTATCGTCGCAATCTGGAGCGTGGATTGATGGAGTGTCAGTTGTCATTCATCTGTAAGACATCGGACCTGCTCTTTAATGATATGGACTCAATTCATTACTTCTTAAATCTGTGTGCTGTTATTTCCCAACAAAGGTTCTTTGATTGGATTTTTTTATATATACAGCAGAACCATAAGCAAATAGGACAAATGTCCCTAAAGCTGCTCTGTTGCTACAAGCTCCCAGAAAACAGTTTCACGGTGTTAATGTTTAAACCCAAACCTTACCTTCGACTTCTCAAAAACCGGTTGCGATGCTTTTGTAAAGCAAACACACTCTCTCATCCAAGGTGTGTCTCAGTTTGCTTTTGTTTTGACCAAATTACCGTGGCAACAGGAGGAAGAGGTCACACACCATCTCTGCATTGATGTTGAGTTATTTAAAAATCAAACCGTGCACCGGTATGAGGGTTTAGCTCAGGTTTAAAACTTTTTCATATAAGTAGCTTTTTGTTTTTTTGCATTAAAACCTTCTACTGAGCTTCTGCTCCTCTTCATGGGACCAGTGCTTCTACCCCAACCGGCTGAATGGTAAATGTGTAATTGGATATCAGTAAGTTGGAACTTTAAAATGCTTTCCTTTGTGCTACAGGCCACTTTAGGCACTGTGGTTGGAAAGAATCAAGTTTGCAGCCTGAGCAATCACACATGAGAGTTAAATTAGCTTCTACCGTCTGTAATCACAGATGGAGGACAGGGTGAGGACCTCTGTTTGCATTCCAGCTGAACTGCAGAACAAAGAAATCCTGACAATAGCTTTAACCGATCCCATTCATCTCCTCCTGAGTGTAGCTGTATGCACAGCCTTGTTACTCTGGACTGAGCTTTTGTGAGAGGTCACTGTTTGTAGTTCTGCCAGGTGCTATATTAACATACACAGCAATTCTGTTCTCACAAGTACAAACCTTTGTGGCTGAAAGATTATTGCTTTTTCAAGTTCCCTCCCTTACGCTTCCCCTGCCAATGTTTGACTTCTGTTGACATAGTTCATATCTACATCAGAATTGTCTGCAGTGTATTTTAGAGAAGATGGGCTACCTCACCTGAAATAGAAGAGGGTCTATTTCATATATTAAATCACAAAACGAGATGCATCAGGATCTAAGGGGCTTTTCAAACTGAAACAATTTATATATATATATATATATATATATATCGCTAGCCAAAATAGTTTACTCCCTTATATCGCTATCGGCCCCCAACTCGGTCAGACTCTACTCATGAGGCCCTTTAAGGACCACTGAACGTCCAAGAGCTCCACTTTAGAAGTTTAAGCACAGAAGAGAACTTGCAGTCTATTGTGACTTTGAGCAAAAAGCTAAATGCATTATGAACCCTGCAGCCAGTTCAGTGCTGAACTAATGACCCGTCTAATGCAATAAACTTCTCAACCAATAACAGCTTTATACTTTCGGGATATTAGCAGAAAATCAAGCATGTCTGAGATCAGAGTTCAGAGCATAAATGGATTAGTGACTCCGACAATGAACTTCCAAGCCTCCGGCCTCCGGCTCCAGGAGCTGTTTGAAACCTTTTGTAAAGTAACCTAATTAATATTTTACCCACAATCCTGGTGCAATAGCTGGTGCTGCACAAAGACTCACACACACATACTTACACAGTAAACATAAACCAGACAAAGTCATTCCTCTCATGTTACAATTGCGTCCCTCACTCAGCTGCACATTTCTGTGAGATGGATGACTTGTCCCATTTCACACAATTTCCAATCGGGAAAATACTGATTAAGCACTTGTTTTGGTTCAGGTTAGAGTCTCAAGTCCAGGAAAAGAATGCAGGTCTGCATGAAATGTCCCCTGAAGTGACCTGTGAATGTGTGTCTCTGGTTGTGTGTTTTGGATCCAGCTGAGGATTATAAAGAGCTGTAGCTGCATTTAACTGACTCTGAATTGAGCGTGGAGAAGTAGCACAGTCACAGATAGCATGTGCTTGTGATGGCAAATTATAAAGTTAAGAGCAGCTAATCAGTCCTCTTCAGCACATGACTGTATGCAGGGTGTCTGCACACTTCATTTGTATGGTGTTATCTGACTGCTTTTGAATATTTGTTGATTAGAGTGCTTCTAGAATTCTTCTTTAACGTTCACACATGCACCTTTCCACTTCCACTGTGTTCAACCAGGTATCTAAAGTGGTGGTACAAGAAGACCCAGGTGGACAAGAAGGTTCCATTCATTGATATGTTCGGTGCCCAACCCCTGCGTCAAATATATGGTGAGTACAGGTCCATTGTAAAAACAAAATATATTCAGTCCAGTTTTATGCAGATTCAGCGACAGAAGGTCGAATATGAACACCAAATTGAAATAAATCACCTGTTGACCAATAATTCTGTCTAAACTTTGACCAAAACACAAGATTTCAAACATCTCTGTAACTTCACTTCACATTGATATAATAGGAAATATAGTATTTTATTAGATCACATAGGATGGCTGGTACTTTAGGGTGAACACACAGATTTATTTGTCAGTGTTGACTCTTTACTCCTGATTTGCAGGTGCTCCACTTGGTGGTATTGGAGGAGGAACCATCACTAGAGGCTGGAGGGGGGAGTTCTGCAGATGGCAACTTAACCCGGGAATGTACCAGTACAAAACTGTCACAGCAAATCAGGTATCCAGGGTCTTAAATAGAGTAATAGTAAAAGTAGTAAAAGTATAAAAAAATAGTAAAAGTATTCATTTTAAATAATGACACTGTAGTTTAAGGATATTTATCTGGCTTTATTTGATCTATTCAAGTTTATTCATGTCCATAGACATTCTTCATAAAAACATTTCATGTCCTAACATGTACATATAAAAGGACATCAAATCCACAACTCTATGATCATGTTCTTTGTCTTGACGTTAGTTCACAGTTTGTTTGCGTCGAGGAGGACAAACAGTTTACCAGCAGGTGCTTTCTGTAGAGCGGCCGCCCACGTTACAAGGCTGGAACTGGGGCTACTGCGGGGAGTACGCCTTCTACCACGCCCTGTACCCTCGTGCCTGGACTGTCTACCACCTGCCAGGGCAGAATGTCACCCTGACCTGCAGACAGATTTCCCCTGTCATCCCCCACGACTACCAGGTAACTGAAGCATAGCTTATGGGTTTTTTTTGTCTGGAATTTGTGTTTCCTGAATTCTTCTAAGTTTGTGGAGTTGAGAAAATAAACTGAAGATATTTTCCAGATTGTTAATGTTAATGATCCTTGCTAGTGTTGACAGTTGCACATATTTCAAGTTACAGAAATATGTCATTTGTCCACAACACTTTCAAATTAGAAGACGAAACATCTGTGGTAACGCAAACATTTAAGACAGTATATTTATTTCCCTCAGGACTCCAGTCTCCCAGTGGCCGTGTTTGTGTGGGACATAGAGAACAAGAATGACTATGACCTAGACGTCTCCATCATGTTTACCATGGTCAATGGATCCGGGCACAAGAATGACAAGAGCGGAGGACACTGGAATGAACCTTTCCATCTGGAGAAGGAGGGGGAGACGGTGTCTGGGGTCTTGTTGCATCACTGCACCACAGTGAACCCTTACACACTGTGCATCGCAGCCCGAGAGCAGGTTTGATTTTGAATTGATGACTGTGGCCGTTTCTGTGGTGGTTCCTGAGTTGCTCAATCAATTCTCTGAATAATCTACAGAGTTGAAACAATAGCTGCTGTTATCTGGAATCAGATTTATAATGATCAGCTTTTTAAAAAAAAATCTGCTGAGTTAATGAGGTTTTAGATTTACCAAGAGTGTGAGCGCCTTTTTGTGTGTGTGTGTACATTTAAACAGCCGGACAGGAAGGTCAGTCACCAGACAGCGTTCAGTCCAAAGGGAACCTGCAGCGCTCTGTGGAGTGACCTCATCACTGATGGACGACTGGACTCTCCGACAGGTCAGTGCTTAAAAACAGATTGTGGTGGGATGAGACTGATGAGTAATTGAACAGATGTCTAAAGCTGCTGTTTGCTCATAATGAGGAAGTCACATCAAGCATCACGTGAGGTTTAATCATTATTAGCAGACATCTGGGCGAAAAAGTCTGTTTTAGACACGAGAAAGATTGAATGATTAGGAAACGAAACCCCAACATCTAGTTCAGTAAAACTCGCCCACATGTGACTGTAACAGTCCAGAGGTTTAAGGAGGGATCGACACTGTCCATCGTTCGTCCATTTCTCCACCCTTGTTTTCTGAAGGCCTCAAAAACACTGAAAAATAGATCAACAGTAAAGTGAATGCATGATCATTTCCTGAGGTGAAGTTGACTTTTTCGTTGGTGAGCTTCTCATTAAAGACATAAAAGCTCAGTCATGCAAGGGTTTAAACCACTAATGCTTAAAAAGGAAATAGGTTCCATTTCACAGCACTTGATGGTATTTTCTACACTTTTCTACACACTGATATTTGTTTTTATCTGTTCCTACTTTAGACAACCTCCCTCTTTAACGTGTCATATTCTCTGTCTTACCTCTGCAGGTTCCAGCCCTCCGACCGCAAAGGGAGACACGGTGGCAGCAGCGTTGGCGGTGAGCTGCTCAGTGCCGGCTCAGAGCCATAACACCCTGGAGCTCTGTCTGGCCTGGGACATGCCCAATATCACTTTCGGCTCCAGAGAGAGGGAACACATGAGGTACACAGCAGAAACGGTTTCTAGTTTCCTGTGGTACATTCGAATTTTACATTAAATCAATGTCTAAAATCTAAAAGCAATTTTCTTTCATGGATAATTTACAGTTGGCATAACGGTTAAAAAGTTTATGATTAAACTGACCTAGTTGTGTCTTACTTCAGATCTAGTAATGGAATACAAATAATATACTGATACATTTAATTAACCTTGAAATGTTAAATTAGTCCTAATACAATGATTTCTGTTTATTTCTTGATGAACTGATCATCACCAGCTTGTGGCTTCTCTGTTTCCAGGAGATACACTCGTTTCTTTGGGACCAAAGGGGACGCGTCCCCCTCTCTCAGCCACTACGCTCTGACACATTACAAACAGTGGGAGAGGAGTATCGAGGAATGGCAGAGACCAATCCTGCAGGACAGGTACAGTTCTAAAAGCTTTGTAGGTTCAACGAAACATGATCTGCAGACTGTAATCCAATGATGGGATGACCTCAATTAGCATTAAAGCTTGTAGTTGCTTTTTATCTTTCACTTCACCTCAGCACCATTCTACCTTGGCTTGTATTTCTCTTGGTGTTACAGTTCTCTACCCTCCTGGTATAAATCAGCCCTGTTCAACGAGCTGTACTTTGTGGCGGACGGAGGGTCAGTGTGGACGGAACTAGGAGAAGACGCAGACGTCAGTGGCGGCGTCCGCAGCGAGGACGGGGGGCTTCCAGCTCAGCCTGCTGTCGTCAAAGAGTACGGTCGTTTTGCCTACCTAGAAGGTAAGTGCCAAGAGAACACAGGTGTTAGGAGGAACAGACTCTGCAGTTAACTCAAAATCTATCAGCAGCTATTTACAAGCAACGATATAAATATTCCTTGGTTCCAGTTGGTGGAGTTTTTCTGTTTTGTATGTAATTGTAAACTGAAATAAAAAAAAAACACTCATAGCTTTATATTATTTTTATTAAACTATACATTCAGTGCTTAAAAAGTGAAAAGAAAGATTTATGTTTTATGACCTATATAAATATGTATTCCAGGTCAAGAGTACAGAATGTACAACACATACGATGTGCACTTCTACGCTTCGTTTGCTCTCATCATGCTGTGGCCCAAACTTGCCTTGAGTGTGCAATATGATATTGGTGAGTGAAGAGCTGTTATTGTGACGATTTATAAATTATTCAAGCACGTGTATTTGATAAAGCACGATAGCAGACATTACAGCATTGATCTCTTCTCAGCTGGCAGTGTGGTTCAGCCGGACCCAACAGTGAGGATGCACCTAATGAACGGGCTGTGTTCTCCTGCCAAGGTCAAGAATGTGGTGCCTCATGACATCGGTGACCCAGGTAGGGTGACACCGTGACCGTGTTTTAAGACTGATAGTTCTGCAGAGCCTCAAAACTGGCTTGAAACTTGAAAATCCTTGTTTTGGTGAAAGCTCTCACTGCTGTTCGTTGACTCTGTCCCTAGATGATGAGCCTTGGCAGCGGGTGAATGCCTACCTCATTCATGACACTGCAGACTGGAAGGACTTGAACCTGAAGTTTGTCCTGCAGGTCTACAGGGACTTTCATCTCACCCAGGACAGACAGTACCTGCAGGACATGTGGCCCATCTGCAAGGTACAATGCCTGGCCTTACTACAATGCTCTTTGTCAGCTCTCAAACAAATTCCTCTAACTTCTTCCTAATTAAAGCATTTCACCAGTTTGCCAGTGGAAGGCATGTTAACAGCGATCTATGCACAGTAAAGTAGGGCTCATATCTGACAGAACAAAAACAGGAACACAACTACACAAGTGCTGAGACCTGAAGTCATGCTATCTCCACTATAACCACTATAACCTTTGCCATAGATACAATTTTTTATTGTTGCCGGCCCTAGTACCTAGTCTTCTATCAATTGATTGTTATATACATGCTAACCTCATTAATATAATGAATCTATCTATCAGGCGGTGATGGAGTCGGAGTCCAAGTTTGACCTGGATGGAGATGGTCTTATAGAAAACTCTGGCTATGCAGACCAGACCTATGATGGCTGGCCAGTGACTGGACCAAGGTGGGGGTTCGAAAGAGTTGACAGACCTCTAAAACTGAATTAATTACAGGTCCTTAATAGTTAAAAGCTAGTGCTAATTGCCTTTACAACTTCAAGTCTAAATCAGATGGTGGGGAGGGGGAGGAAATGAAAATTGAGAAAGTGACCTAGAATAAATAAAAGATAAATTGAAGGTGAAATTAAGAAGTTAAATTCTTTAACCTTTAATATAAGCTTCTTTTCTCTGGTGTTATTTTGTGTATTTGTAACTTACAGTGCGTACTGTGGTGGGCTGTGGTTGGCGTCCCTGTGTGTGATGTGTAAGATGGCCAGGCTGGTGGACAATGAGGAGACACACCAACATTACAGAGACATCTTAGACAGAGGCAGTGCTGCTTTTGACAAACTGCTGTGGAACGGTAAGTTCGAAAACACTTCTTTATATTTAAGGGTTCAATCAGTTGTGTTGCTTTAAAACATGTAAATTGTGTATTTTGTTCAGTGATAGTGACCTACATAAAAAAAACTAATTTACATAAGTGGCTTTACATAAACTTTTCCTGCCAGTCCCCCTTGTAAAATTTGCGAAACTGGAAAATGTTCTGATGTAATTTTCTCAACATTTCTCCAGGGTTCATGTCTGAAATAGCTTTATTTATTCTTTTATTAAAAAGATAGAGTAAATAAAGAAGTAAAAACTACAATGCTAGCTAACTTTTGAACAGTTATTTCATCATGCAGTTATGTTTTCTATTAAAGCCTAAATAATTTATAATAGTAAGCTACTCGAAACTTTGAGTGATTAATGAGTTTTCCATTTCCTATCATTTTTAGGAAAGTACTACAACTATGACAGCAGTGGGAGAGAACTTTCCAACAGTGTCATGTCTGACCAGTGTGCTGGCCACTGGTTTCTGAGAGCCTCTGGGCTGGGGGAGGGAGACTTCCAGGTAAATTAACTGTCAAACGTATTATTATTTTATTTGGTTCTTTGCTTTCCTTCTGCTTTGGATAACAAATCGGAATATTTCACAGCAATTTCTCTCTCCTTTCAGGCTTTTCCAAAAGAAAAAATCCAGAGTGCACTCAAATCCGTCTTTGACTTGAATGTAATGAGCTTTGCTGGAGGCCAGATGGGGGCAGTAAACGGCATGCGTCCTGAAGGAGTGCCAGACCGCTCCAGTGTCCAGTCAGATGAGGTCTGGACTGGAGTCGTGTATGGACTGGCAGCCACTATGATCCACGAGGTTAGTGTGTGTCGTTGTTAGTATCTGATTAAAATAAAAAATAAAAAAATAGTACTGTGACGTTTTTAGAATTTTGGCATTGACTTGGTATCAAAGTACTGGTTCTCGTGACATCCATAATATAAATCAAGCCTCACACCTCTGCGGTTGTCCCCCCCTCAGGGTATGCGGGATGAAGGCATGCGCACGGCAGAGGGCTGCTACCGCACCGTGTGGGAGAGACTCGGCATGGCGTTCCAGACTCCTGAAGCCTACTGTGAGAAGGGCATCTATCGCTCACTGGCTTACATGAGGCCCCTGAGCATTTGGGCCATGCAGCTGGCCCTAAATACTTCACAGACGATTCAGACCACATCAGCTCCAACTGGAGACACGGATGGGAGCAGGGACACAATTTGAGAAAATGCTTGAGCCATTAGAGTGTTGTGATTCGTGAGGGACGTCCAGTTCCTTAGAAAATGACCTCCAAACACTCCCACACTGCAGTGCTCTGGTAGACTGGTTACACACCTTGAATTTCACTCTCGACCGTCTGTTTTGCTTCGGATGTTTTGTCGTTTACGGCTTGAGGTCGAAAAACAGTTTTTTTTTGCAGTGCATGGTTTATGTACAACAAAGTCGACAACCACTGTAGATGATCATGAATTAGGTAAAAGGTTCAACATTTTCCAAGAGCCTGAGGTGTGCAGTGTTGAGGGTGTTTAGGCACTGTCAAAATCATAGCCAGTATGTGTTGCTCATTAAAAATTGTGTTCCAGCAACATACACGACACTTCTACATTTAACAGTTCGCAATCATAATAATGATAAAGTTTGCAGACTTGAAACCGGCTTATATGCTAAATGTTTGAGGACTGTTGTCTGTTATTATGCCAGCCACATGTAGGTATTATTGTAATGAAATGAAGTCACACGGCCTTGATTACTGGATAAGATGTGTAGACACTTGAAAAAAGTAATTTTGAAGATTTTATTTTCCTCCAATTAAATTTGAATGCTGTAATAAATGATGTAATATGCGCTGAGTACTGTTGGGAATTATGTCTGAAAGAATATATATTTTCCCTTTTTAAAAAAAAACAAACAAACATGTGGTGACTTGTTGCATGTTGGCCTATATCTACAAAATATATATGAATGTAGCGGCAACATTTATGTTTTATAAAAAAAACAATTCTCCTGACAATCAAACTGAATAAATGACTGAAAAACACAATCGCTGCTTTCGTTGCATTTTGTTAATTCATGAAAAACAAATGTGATTGAATGAAAGGTGATGAACGACAAACTGACGACTGGTTTACTGATCAAAACAAAGAAAGTGAAGAAATAGTTTCTATACTATCTCTTCCAGTCATGGTACGTAGAGGACATATGAATAGTGTGACTCGGAGTGAAGGCTTCCACCTAGTCTCTGTGGCGCAATCGGTTAGCGCGTTCGGCTGTTAACCGAAAGGTTGGTGGTTCAAGCCCACCCAGGGACGAGACCTTTTCTTCCCTGTGCAGCGAAACTTTAATTCAATCATACGTTTTACTTTAACATCACCACTGGAGGAGTTTTCAAATCACCGCTATTCATTTATAAGTGTTTTTATACGAACAGAGGGAGAGTTTGTTAAACTAAACTACTCGAAGACAAGTCCAGCAGCAAGATGACGTGTGAAACAGCCACAGTTCAAGCAGCAGCGGATTTATTTAACTTCCTTCGTCAATAAATTCACGTGTTATTGTATTTTTAATACAATTCAGAGAAAAGAAAAAGAAAAGGTCTCGTCCCTGGGTGGGCTTGAACCACCAACCTTTCGGTTAACAGCCGAACGCGCTAACCGATTGCGCCACAGAGACTGGGCTGCCATGTGACTGCACTGAGACTCTATCTGGGCGATCGGATGTGGAATGTATAAATAAATGTGGAAATTAATAAATAATGTCTTAATTTTATTTCCACATTTATTTATTTCTGTATTTCTGTGTCATATGGAAATGAGTAGGGGCGGTCCTGACCTCAGTCTGGAGCGGGATTGGTCACAGGAGTGTGATGAAGATTCGCTAGATTGCTTCTGTCTGGACCAATCCAAATAAATAAAGGTGGAAATAAAATGTCTACATTTATTTTATTTATACTCAAGTCATTTCTCGTCCTCTATAGATTCTCTCCGTAACTCTGAGATTATTTAGTTCTTTCTGACATATGAAGCAAATTCTCTCACAAAAAAAAAAAAAAAA